GAGGCAGAGGCAGAGGCAGAGGCAGAGGCAGAGGCAGAGGCAGAGGCAGAGGCAGAGGCAGAGGCAGAGGCAGAGGCAGAGGCAGAGGCAGAGGCAGAGGCAGAGGCAGAGGCAGAGGCAGAGGCAGAGGCAGAGGCAGAGGCAGAGGCAGAGGCAGAGGCAGATGATCTCTGTCAGTTCAATCGAGGCCATCGTGGGTGTACAGAACTCATCAGAGCTGTTACACAGAGAAACCCTGTCTCAAAAAAACAAAACAAAACCAACAACAAAAGTTACTTTTGCTACATATCATCCTCCCAAAATTTTTTAATTAAAAAAATACAAAAGTGAGTTCCAGGACAGCCAGTGCTATTACATGGAGAAACCCTGTCCTATCAAAAATTAAATTAATTAATTAAAAAAATAAATAGAAGACTCACCTTCTCTTTCTTTCCTTTTTTTGTCTTCTCAGGTGGTGGCACTTTGGGAGCTGGTGGTGGCGGTGGTGGTGTGGGTGTAGGTGCAGGTGGAGGAGGTGGTGGTGGTGGTGGTTCTACAACGGCAGGTGCTGCCATAGTTCCTCGAGCCTGAACTGGCTGCAATGATGGAGTGGTCACTCCAATTGGGACAGAACATTCAGCATAACTCATAATTGCAGGTGCTGCTGCTAGTCCAAGGTAATTTGACTGCAGACTCATCCCTCTGGTCTGATGACCCATTCCTGCTGCTGCATGGCTAACTGATACTGCTTGGTGTGCCATCCCGACAGCCTGGTGTGCAATTCCCATTGCTTGGTGACCTAATGCAGGAAACATAAAACAATACTATAAAAGATACTGTAACAAGACAGAAGGAAAAGGAAACTAAGAGTTCAATCACAAAATGACCTCAATATACTTCTTCCTTTAAAAGGAATTTTAAAGGAAGTATTTTCTACTCACAAAATTTTATAGCTGAGCAGGGCAGGCTATGTCTTTAATCTCAGCACTTGGGAGGCAAAAACAAGAGGCTCTCTGAATTTGAAGCCAACCTGGTCTACCTACAGAGTGAGTTCCAAGATAGCCAGGGCTACACAGAGAAACTCTATCTTGAAAACCTATAAAAATAAAATCTGAACATCTAGAGATTAAAGTACTTCAGTGTAAAAATAACTGGTATAAACGGGTGGTGGTGCACGCCTTTAATCCCAGCACTCCAAGAGGCAGAGGCAGGTGGATCTCTGTGAGTTGGAGACCAGCCTGGTCTACAAGAGCTAGTTCCAGGACAGCCTCCAAAGACACAGAGAAACCCTGTCTCGAAAAACCAAAACAACAACAACAAAACCCCAAAACAAAAAAACTGGTAACGTAAATGTATAGAAAAAAATTTTGCAGACCCTGAATAGTGGAGTACACCTCTAATGCCAGTACCCAAGAGGATCTACAAAATGAGTTCCAGGCCCATCTAGATTTACTGAGACCCTGTCTTTAAAAAGCAAAAACAGCTGGGCGGTGGCAGTGTACACCTATAATCCCAGCATTCTACAGGTGGAGACAGAGGCAGGAGGATCTCTGGGTTCGAGTTCAGCCTGGTCTACAGAGTGAGTTCCAGGACAGTGAGGGCTACACAGAGAAACCCTGTCTTGAAAAACCACACCAAACAAACCTCGATAACACAAAACAGAAAATAATATTGTAAGGATAAGGATTCATGTTTAAGGGTAGTTTTTAGTAACTGAGAAAAATAAGCATCAATAGTATTTTCAACCAAAAGCTTTCTACTTACAGCATCTAATGCTGTAAACAAATGATACATTGAGAAAAACCCACTTTAATTATGATGCTTACCTGCAGTTATAGCTGACTGGCTGTAGAGAACTGGAGAACTACCAATAGTAGCTGATCTCTGGACCACTGCAGTACTAATTTCTGCTGCTTTTCTCTTTACTGCTTTAGTGGATGGAGGACTAGAGGCTGTAGAATCAACTGAACTCTGAAACACAAACATCCCAGTCAGCAATTGTAGACCTATAAAATATACTCTCCGAAATGTCAATCATGTTCTAGTCCCCATTACCATCCCGAATGCCAAGGACAGCATTACCTGGCTCGTTACAACCGTGGTCTGTGTTGAAGGTTTCAAAGGAGTATCCTCCTCTGTTCCTGGGGCAGGAGGCTCCTCACTTCCTTCATCCTCCATTTCTACCTCCTGAATCTCACCATCTTCTAAAGGAGGAGGTGGCGGAGGAGGAGGAGGTGGCGGCGGAGGAGACTCTGGGGGTGGAGGTGGGGGTGGTGGCATTTCCAGAGGTAATGGTGGTTGAAGCACGGGTACATTTGACTGAAGGAGGGTCCAGAAGGGAGTAAGTGGCATGAGTGATGAAGAAACTTGACCAGAAAATGATTCTTTACAAAGAGAACCTGGAAAACACACAGTAGTCAGGGACAAATCAAGACAAATCCTTCATGGCTAATGTCCACGTTCATGTTCACCTGACCAGTAAAATAGACACCAGTACCAACCTAGGGCAAATGTGCACAGTAACTTCAAACAGCAGGGGCCAGCTGGATCTCCCATAATTAAAATGTGACTCACAGCTAGCCACACCAATGTCACTCTAAACAGTTCAACTTAGAAATTATTTCTACAGAAAGGTTAATTTATGATTCTGAGAGAACTTTCCCTACTATATTCTTTATAGCCTTATTCTTTATATCCAGATTTGTAGATAAATAAAAACAATCACAAAATAGTGAGCAATTCCATCATCCAAATCTGTAATTTGAAAATTGATCTTATTTTTAAGTGTATGTGTTTCTATGTATGTGCCTGTGTGTGTGCAGGTACCCTTGAAGACCAGAAAAGGGCACTGAATCATTGTATCCTCTTGGGGCTTGAGTTACAGGCAGGTGTGAGTTGCTGAGAACCAATCTCAGGTCCTTTGCCAAAGCAGTATGTATGTGCCCTTAACAGCTCCAGGCCTCTAGAATCCCCCCCCCCCCCGCCGCCCCCAAACATTTATTTCAACATGAGAAGGCAGCAATTCTCTGGGGTCTTTTTTGTTTGTTTGTTTCAAAAGTAGGGGAATCATGTATATCTGTAATACTGATTCCATTTTATTACTATTATTTTCAACGAGCTAGTTAAGTGGAGGTGTCACAGTGAAAACCCATTCAAAACAAAAACAACAAAAAATTCTACCTATTTTGATTAATGTGGATAACTAGTTTTAAAATGTATTTGCAAGATGCTTGCAATTGTGGACTCTCACTCGTTTATGTGTGTAAATTTCATCTGCTTAATCATACCAACAAAAAGGGAAGGTAATTGTTCTTTCTGTGATGAGTGAAGAAACTGAGGACAAAATGTCAAGGCAAATGATAAGTGGAATTTGCAGAGCTTTTGAAACTGCTGTTGCTTTAGCTTGAGTTAAATTATAACTGAAAAGCTATGTTAAATTTCCTCAAACTTCACAAACACTGTCATTGAAGACTGCAGTCTCACTGCTGGGTAATGCTTTTTAAAGATTAGAGAAAGTAGGAGGATATACTTACTTGTAGCCTTCCCCATCCCTCTTTATCGTCAATAGGGGTGTTTCACAATATATGGGACTATTAGATATATATCCCAGGAATGTTGAGGGGATTTTCTCCCTAAAAAATCATAGAATCTAGGAGTAGAAGAAACATGAGAAATCAACTAATTCAACTTCCTCATTTTGGAGGTAATGAAACCCAGGTAGGAACTGATCATCTTAGGAAGACAGAGCTGCAGGGCCAGGCCAGGGCCAAGAGACCAGGTCTGATGCCGAGCCTAGTGCTTTCTATTGGTGAAAGAGCTGAAGAGCCATCTAAAGGCTCACTTCTGATAGAGTAAATATCCAGAGCAGCCACCTGCCAAAACTGAATTAAATAAGGGCTCCATTATGAAAGACTCTAGGTTAGGGAGAAGGTAATTTATACTTGACACTTGACAAGGTAAAGCCCAAACAACCAACAGTCACCTGCCTTTTATGGTTTTGCTAATGGAACACATATGTAATATACTGTGAAAAGAATTTTATAATTACTGAGACATTCCTTATTGCTAAAGAAAAGGAAACTAGCAAGAGATTTACTAGAAAACATGAATGCAGTTTTCCAGCTAAAAGAACTCAAATGATTCATTAACCTTTTTTGTATTGTCATCAAGTAATATGAATTTAGTTACATACTAACATTGAGACAAAAACATTTCAGAAGACTAATTTGACCAAAAAGATTCCAAAAAGATTATGTATATAGCTAGAAAATCTATTATAGAACAGTACTTCAATATTTCATCAGAACACCAAAGACAAAATAAAGCAATAAATATTAAAGATTATTAATATAGAATTAAACTTTCTCCTACTGAATTAACTTTAAGACATCATGAATGAACTGTGTGTCAGCCTTGATGACTGGCAGTTTTCTTGTCTTCAAGTATCATGCTTTTATGACACTGACATGCTGCTAATTAAATAAATGCAAGGAACTGCACCAGGTCAGAGTCAATAATGTGGTCTGTGAACCAGCAAAAGCAATCAAGTATCTAAACTTTCTATGAGTGTTAATTAAACTCCATTTGAAGGGGGGTGGGGGGGGGTCATTGCTCAATTGACAGTATGATTCCTAGTCCCAAGTTCCATCCCACTGCATAAAACCAGGCATGGTAACATACACCTAGGATCCCAGTTCAGTACTCAGGTGGGACAGGAAGACTGTGACTTCAAAGTCATCCTTAGCTACACAGCAAGTGCCAGGCATACATTAGACCCTGTTTCCAGAAAGAAAAAAACAAAACAAAAAACAAAGACAAACCAAACAAGAACACACACAACAAACTTGATAAATTCAACAAGTAATAGAATACTTGAATCCTAAGCCCCTAAATTTACTCAATATAAAAGCTGTTTCTCAAACACTGATAGTTCTTCTCTTTAGCTTTAAGCACAGAAAAGTTAAAGCTACTTTAGCTGGCATGGTGGCACAAGCCAGTAATTGTGACTCCTAGGAAGCCGAGTCTGAGCTAGTCTCAAATACATAGAGAGCCTATCTGTAGATTATTGCGTGCCGCGTATGCTCAAAGATGATCCGTAGTCCGTAAGCCTAAGATTTCTTTATTCAGATAAACACCAGCCCAAAAGCAAGCCAGAGCGTGCCAGGGGCAAGGCAGCCAGGCCAGAGAGAAGGGGCTCCTATGTGTCTGCAGAACCTTAAGAACCCCCCACGCATCATCCTGAAGACCCCTTGACCACGCCCTGACAGGCATGGGTTAAGCACACCTGTAGCCAACCCTTAGGAGGCGTGGTTACAGTGCCTCCCTACAATTCCCCTTTTAGTCTAAAAGAGGATTAAAACTTAATAGTGTAAAATATCCAAAATTAACAATCATAAAGGTGAAATACAAGAAGATACAATAATCTGCTATTGCACATCCTAACTATGTCTATTCCGGCTAAGCCCTAAAGTCATGTGGAAAGGGTGTCTAACTTGAAAACCTCCTTCATTTTGGCAGAAAGATTTATCTTTAACAAGCCAAAGCACTGGGTCTGGAGAGATGGCTCAGTGGTTAAGATGGTTTGCTGTTCTATCTTGAGGACCACAGTTCAGATGCCAGTACCCATATCAGGTGGCTCTCAAATGCTTGTAACTGCAGTTCCAAGGGTTCCAAGGCCACCTTCTGGCCTCAACAGGCGCACACACATACACATAAATAATAAAAATAAATCTTTTAAAAGAAAATGTTAAAATTAAACTTCTAAACAGAAAACCTAGTTTAAGCATCACATGTCTATTACAAATATACCTCTACTTTTTTTTTTTTTTTTTGGAGACAGGGTTTCTCTGTAGCTTTGGAGCCTGCCCCGGAACTCTCAGGCTGGTCTCAAACTCACAGAGATCTACCTGTCTCTGCCTCCTGAGTGCTGGGATTAAAAGGGGTGTGCCACCACCACCTGGCCCAACTGTCCACTCTTTAGAGCTATGATAAATATATTTTAAGTTTCTTTTAATAAAAGATGGTTTTAAAGATGAGTGTAGTAAGCTGGATAATACCAACTGCATTTGTCATCAACGATAGGATGAAATAGCTTAATGTTTGACATTAAAGTATTTAAAAACAAAAACCCCACAACACTTAAGAACTGTCAAGTGTGAGTCAGGCCTTTGATCCCAGCACTTTGGGAGGCAGAGGCAGGTGGATCTCCGTGAGTTTGAAGATAGCCTGGTCTACAGACTGAGTTCCAGGAGAACCAAGGTTACACAGAGAAGCCCTGTCTCCCCCCCTCCCCCCCAAAATGGTAACTGTATAGTATTCAATTAGGAAATGTACAAAAATGAGAAGTTATGGTCAAAAATCCTGGTGTGGTGATGTGTATACGTGTAATCTCAGCACCTAAGAGGTAGAGGCAGGAGGGCTGGAGAGATGGCTCAGTGGTTAAGAGCACTGGCTGCTCTTTCAAAGGACCCAAGTTCAATTCCCAGCACCCACTATGGCAGCTCACAACTGTCTGTAGCTACAGCTCCAGGGGATCTGACACCTTCACACAGACATACATGCAGGCAAAACACCAGTGAACATAAAATAAAATTAAACAAAATCTTAAAAAACAGAGGTGGAGGCGGGAAGATCTGGAGATAAAGGTCATACTTTTCTTATCTGGGCATTGAGAACAGTCTGGGGTCTGACTCAAAAACCAAAAGAAAGCAGAGTGGTCAGGAATATAATCATCCACTCAACCAACATCAAGCCTCAATTCATTATCCACTAAACAAAGAAAAAGCTATAAACTGTTAGTAGAAACATCTGTCACTTACTGCTATCAAAAGTAGACTTCTGAAATGTGTTAGAATAAAATTCCTTACTCTTGTTATTTATAATCTTTGGATTTTTATTTTACTCTAATGTTATCTAGGCTACTTATCGATGTTAATAAAATCACTTGGGATATGATTGCAAATTTCTTGATGGGAGCAAGGAACAAAGCACCTTTTTTTTTGCACTGGAAATGGGTATATGTAGAGAGGAGGGTTTCCACGAGGCTGCCCTCAAATTCCCAATCTTCCTGTCTCAGCCTCTTGACTAAATGAAACAGTCACTGACAACCATGCTGATTAAACCAATTAAAAAAATTGAGTCCTTTAACAACAGCCAGACTAATAGCGGGCTTGTAACTCTAGAAAGTTTCTTGGTGCCAAAGCTCAGAGGTACAGCATTCCTTTTTTTTTTTTTTTTTGGTTTTAGGAGACAAGGTTTCTGTGTAGCTTTGGAGCCTATCCTGGCACTCGCTCTGTAGACCAGATCGGCCTCAAACTTAGAGATCCACCCGCCTCTGCCTCGCGAGTGCTGGGATGAAAGGCAACGCCCCTCGAGGTACAACATTCTTAAAGACAAAGCCATAATTACATTAGGGCTCCAGGAGGGTTACATTAGTGAGAGATTTAGAGTGGCCTAGTAACATTTGCTTTCTTTGCAAGGCTTAGTGGCACCTTCCACACATCACATAATATATATGAACCGTGGCCACGGTCATGGATAGTCCTAGAAGCATCACCAAGTGAATGTGGCTGTTGGGAGTGGAAGGCTGAGAAGTGGCCAAGCAGGCACAAAATAATATTGGGGCAGGATAGCATTACCTTATTCATTTCATTGAAATAGCCATTACACACTTTTGATAGGAAGAAGATAAAAGAAGTTGGCTCTTCTTATGCTATCAAACAGTTTCCTACTTTTTATTTTTAAAGGGTTAGTTATTTACGAATCACTCCATAGTCATCTTGCCTTCAAATGCTACTTTAACAAACTGCTGTCTTGGCTTTTTGTTTTTTGGGACAAGGTCTTATCACAAGTCTGGTAGCACCAGCCTACAATCTCAGGAAGCCAAAACATGAGGATCACATGTTTAAGGCCAAAACCTGGGTTACAGAGTGGCGTCTTGTCAAAAATAATCTGGAATATAGCTCAGTAGTGTAGGAGTATGTGCAAATCCTAGGTTCAATTTCCAGTACCACTATAAGAAACAGGGAAGAAAGGGGGAGGTGGGAAAGAAAGCAAAGAAGGGAAAAGAGCAAAAAATAGGCAGCAAAAATGCATTTTCTTTTATAAAGTGGGGAACTATGTCACTCTTCTGAACAGCCAATTAGGTCTCAGGATAGACAAAGGAGCTATAAAAGCCCATTCATTCATTAAAAAAAAAAGGGGGGGGGGACTTACTGAAGAGATGATCAAGAGCCCTGGACATTCTTCTAGATGAGTCCTATCACCCACATAGCAGCTCACAACCATCTATAGATTTTGGGGACTCTGACACACTCTTTGGCCTTTGAGGTGCCAGGCACCAGGGATACACAAAGACATATATTTGGGTTAAACACCTGTACATGTAAGATGAGATGGTTTAACAAAAAAAGGGGGGGAGCACAAAAGAACAGAAAACAGCTCAGTCAGTAAAGTGCTTGTGGTGCAAGCACAACAAATAGTTCATCCTAGCAACTATATCTTAAAACCAGACAAAAAAATGCAGGTGTGGCCAAACACCTTTAGTCCCAGCACTTGAAAGGCAGAGGCAGAGGCAGAGGCAGAGGCAGAGGCAGAGGCAGAGGGGTCTCTGAGTTTGAGGACAGCCTGGTCTGTATGGCAAGTACCAGACCAGCCAGGACTACATAGTGAGACCCTGTCTTAAAGAAGGGAGGGGCAGGGTTGGTGGTGCCTGCTTGGAATCCCAGCAGTGCTGAAGGAGAGAAGGTGGATCACTGGGACTAGATGGTTAGAGTAAACTTACCATCTAAGAGTAAACTTTACTCCTAGAGTAAATCAAGGAGGTCTCAGTGAGGTATCTTGTTAAAAAAATGTGTATGGCTTCAGAGAAATGTGATTTAAGGTTGGTCTCTAGTTTCTGCTTGTGCATGCATAGACAGAAAAAAACAAACAAACCAACCACAGGGCACTGAATACTCTAGGAGCTTCTTTTGGAGACAGGGTTTCTATGTGTAGCCAGCCTGGAACCGACTCTGTAGATCAGGCTAGTCTCAAATTCAGAGATCCACCCACCTCTGCCTCCCAAATGCTGGGATTAAAGGCATTTGCCACCACTGCCCAGTTCTCTAAGAGCATCTTAAATGGGAATTTCACCCATTTCTGATCTTCTTATCTAAAAATATCACTGACAATTTTCATTGATTGCTAGAATAGAATATATATTTACAGCCTTTCTATCATTTTGATTTGTACTGGCAAAATATACAAGACTAGTGAAATTCAGAAATGAGGCCAAAATATCAATAGACTTAAACTGTATAAAATGTAGAACAATCCTTATATTTTACTTCACAGATCCAGGCAATCCAACTACCTACCTAGTCCTCTGAATGGCCATTACTGTTTTTGTAGATCTAAAGTTTTCTCAGTGAAAAAAACAGAAATATGTCTCTTTTATTAAGTTTAATGTGAATTATTTTTATTTAATTATGCATAAAATTTAGAGTACACTAAACACATACTAATTAATATTTATTACATGAAATATTTAAGATCAAAAGATAATTTTATTTTGATGCCAAACTCTGAAAGGAATTAAGTCTAATTAGTCAAAAAGCCAAAGTATGAGTATTACTATAACTCATACATTCTTAGTTTAAGCTGGACTTTGCAATTAGCATATTATTACTATGCTATAAATTATCCTATAATAAAAACAGGAATGACTTTTTCCTCCAAAACTGTTGTTCAACCAGAACAGAATAGATTGTCTTACCTGTGGAATTCTCAGAGGATTCTGTGGAGTTTGGATCAATGCAGGTCTTCTCTTTCACAGTCGGCTTAGGAAGAATCTCATCTCTAACTTCGTGTGCTTGGCTTTCTTCCTCCTCCTCACCATCTGGGAATTCCCACTGAGATTCGCCCGACTGTTCGTTTACATAGAAATATCGCCTATGATCCCTAAATCACAAGAAAGAAAACACATGTTTTAAAAATCTCTTCTCCTACAGAGACACTTCCATTTGGTCCTGTCCCAGGACAGCAACAGTCTGCTCTCACAGGGACGAACCTCTTCTTATGGACTGCTATTCACAAAGGCAACAAAGAGCTTTGACAATTGAGGATGGAGAACCCAGGAAAATTCAAAGCTTTTTGCACTGCCAGCAGCTCTGTGAATACAGCCCTTAGCCCTCTCAACAGATGAATTAGAAATCATTTCTTTCGTTTGTTTTGTTTTGTTTTGCCAATGCATAACCGGGTTCCAAGTTTCATTAATGAAGGGACTCGATTGCCTAGAACACTAATTTCCCTTCCAAAGAAGAGAACATCGAAGTGAAAGGTGACTCTTCCCCTCTTGGACCGTGGAATTCATTTCAAATTCTTGATATCAAACACAGTGAAAGCTAAAGAGAGGGAGAGGATCTGGGAGCTGAAAAATAAAAGAGCAAAGATTTCAAATAACGAAAAAAAAAAATCAAGAAAAGCCAAATATAAAAAGAAATGTTTTCATCTGACCTGCTGGCAGAGGATAGTAATCTTGTTCTTCATTCACATCTTCTGTCACGAAGTTTTCCTTAACTTCACCGAGGTTAATCAGGAGTAGTTGCTTCCAGAGGTCCTGTAAAGCGCACAGAGCTCTCGCATGCGCTTAACCCCCAAGCCCGCCCTACTCCGTGCAACACTCTGGAGAGTAAAAACCGGCTTTGTCCAATCTTGGGAAAAAATCCGTTACATGGAACACTTTTAAACATTGTTTTTCCAAATGTATGGCTGGCCAAACTCTGCTTGCAGTGCTTTGCCTGCCCAGATGCTCTCAAGTCTCCAGACAGGCTGTCATGGCGTCAGGTGGTGGTGATCACAAATCATGTCTGAGATGTCAAAGGTGAAAGGTGAAAAGGGGAGAAGAGTGCGTACCTGTCCCAGTGGCAGGACCAGCCTTTAGGAGTGGCGTTTATTTCATACTGTTTTAGTTGTTCTGCAGCATCCTGAAGTTTTCGTTTTAGGTAATTTCCATTAAGAGCCCCTTCCCGCCAGTCTGCAATTCGAGTCTAGAATTAACACAGAATTATAACTGATATCAGAAAACAGAGGTAAAAGATTAAAAAAAGCAAAACAAAACAAAAAAAAAAGAGGTAAGAGACTCAAAGACTGTATCATTATGCTGTAACAGAGGAGCAGACCAAGAAAGCAAAGAAATCTCTCATCTTCTATTAAGGTGGCATTTGCTTTAATTAAAAAAGTGCTATTACCTGCAGCTGATAGTTCAAATATGAATATCAAAGTTAAAACTGCAAAACACATTATTAAACACTTTATTTAAAATTATGCATCAAGGGGCTGGAGAGATGGCTCAGAGGTTAAGGGTGCCAACTGCTCTTCCAGAGATCCTGAGTTCAAGTTCCAGCAACCACATGGTGGCGCACAACCATCCATTATGAGATCTGGTGCCCTCTTCTGGTATGCATGAAAGCAGAATGTTGTATACATAATAAAAAAATTAAAATCTTAAAAAAAAAATTATGCATCAAAAGTGGTGTTACAAGTCTTTAATTCCAGCAGAGGCCTGAGGACCGCTAAGTTTGAGGCTAGCCTCATCTACATACCAAGCTCCAGGACAGCCAGGACTAAACAGAGAGACCCTATATCTCAACTCCTCCCCTATAAAACTATTTATTAGTGTGTGTGTGTGTGTGTGTGTGTGTGTGTGTGTATGTTGTGCTCCAAGTGGAGGTTTGAGGACAACTTTGTAGAGCTGGTTCTCCCCCCTTATGGGTTCTGGAACAAAGGTCATCTAGCTTTTGTACAGTGTTTATACCCACTGTGACATCGATCCAGCCCACAAAACACATTTTTTGGGGGGTGGGGTGGTTCAAGATAGGCTATTGCACACATTCAGCTTATTTACAGTTTGTGAAAGTATTTGCTTACTTTCTTATTTATTTATTTACTGATTTTCCAAGGCTAATCTTTCTGTGTAGCCCTCACTGTCCTGGAACTCACTCTGTACATCAGACTGGCCTCAAACTCAAGTGATCCAGCTGACATTTGCCTACCGGGTGCTAGGATTGAAGGTGTGTACCACCACTGTCCAGCTACAAAAGACATTCTTTTCTAAAAAAATTATTTATTTATATTTATTTTGTGTATATCAGTGTTTTGCCTGCATGTATGTCTGTGTGAGGGTGTTGGATCCTAGAGTTACAGAGAGTTATGAGTTCCCATGTGCATGATAGAATTGAATCCAGGTCCTCTGGAAGAGGAGTCAAATGTTCCCAACCATTGAGTTATCTTTCCAGCCCCTACAAAACAATTCTTAAGATAGAATGCCATGCAAACACCATTTATGGGCTATGGAAATATCTCAGTGATTAAAGTGCTTGCCAAAGGTATCAGGACCAGAGTTAAGATTCCCACACCCCACATAAAAGTCAGGCAAGCACCAGGGGCCCTCTGAAATTATAAACGCTCGGAAAGTGGAGACAGGTGCTGAAAATAAAACTTTCAGCAAGACATTGGTGGCACATGCCTTTTATCCTAGTGCTCAGGAGCCAGAGGCAGCCAATTTTGCTAAGCTTAAAGATCCCAGCACTTGGGAGGCAGATGCAGGCGGGATCTCTGTGAGTTCGAGGCCAGCCTGGTCTACAGAGCGCCAGGATGGGCTCCAAAGCTACACAGAGAAACCCTGTCTCAAAAAACAACAACAACAACAACAAACAACAAAAATGGGACTGGAGAGATGGCTCAGAGGTTAAGAGCACTAAATGCTCTTCCAGAGGACCTGAGTTTGATTCCCAGCAACCACATGGTGGCTCATGGCCATCTATAATGACATCTGGTGCCCTCTTCTGGTGTGCAGGCATACATGGAGGCAGAATGTTATATACTTAATAAATAAATAAAATCTTAAAAAAAAAAAAGAAAAAAGAAAGAAACCAAGCTTTCGGGGTGTTGGTGGTCCGCACCTTTAATCCCAGCACTTGGGAGGCAGAGGCAGGTGGATCTCTGTGAGTTCGAGGCCAGCCTGGTCTACAGAGTGAGTCCCAGGATAGCCTCCAAAATAATACAGAGAAACCCTGTCTCAAAAAACAAAAAAAGAGAATGTGTTATGGGCTGGAGAGATGGCTCAGAGGTTAAGAGCACTGACTGTTCTTCCAGAAGTTTTGCGTTCAATTCCCAGCAACCACATGGTGGCTCACAATCATCTGCCCTCTTCTGGCACGCACTGTATACAGGATTAATAAAGAAATAAATCTTTTGAATAAATAAAGCCAGCCTAGTACACAGAGAGAGTTCCAGGACAGCTAGGGCTACACAGAGAAACCTAGCCTTGAAAAGTCATTAGATAGATAGATAGATAGATAGATAGATAGATAGATAGATAGATTTAAGAAAGTAAGCAAATAAAGCTTTCATGCACTGTAAATAAGCTGAGTGTATGCAACAGCCCTTAGTACCAGCACTCTGGAGACAGAGCCAGGAGGATCTCTGAATGTGAGGCAATTCTGGTCTGTACATTAAGCTCCAGGCTAGCCATGGCTACATAGTGAGGTTCTGTCTCAAAACAAACAAAAAGTAAATAAATAAAACAAAGTGACATTTACACCAAAACCAGCTGACTTACCTCAGTCTGTAAGAGCAGCATGTGAAAGTTGGAGATGGATTGTCTATTAATCCCCAGGAATTCAAATTTACTTGTCAGGGTATTTGCCAGTTCTCCAATCTGAAACTGTAATAGAACAGAAAAAATTAAAACCAAAACTCCAGCATTCATTCCTATGTGATATAAAGTCTTCCATTTATTATTACAGATACTGGAAATTTATTATCTGCACACAATTTACTGTAACTAGCTATGCTTAGAATTTTACTTTGTAATCAAATTCACATAATGAATAAAATGCTTATCTACTTGTTATTACAATGCATTCAAACATGGATTTCAACAGCTGAACACAGATCCTAATCTTAAACACACAAAATTTACATAAAGAGAATACCAAAGTGGTGTTTGTTGCCATAAAATTGGGGCTCTATTGTACAGCATGGTGACTACAGTAAACAATACAACATTGTATTGCTGAAACTCATTCAGAGATCCAAACATTCTTAACACCCCTATCCCAAAGATAGATCTGTGAGGTGGCAATTGATTAGCAGGGTTTGTGGTAATATCACTATATGCATAGTCTCAAAACATCTTATTATATATAGTGATATGTACATATCAAAACACATGGCAAATATGGCAATTATATCATAAAATAGCTGAAGGGGAAATATAATGAATGATATTCCAATACTGTCAAATTTTACTTATGTTAGCCATAAGCTGAAGCCTTAAAATTGTATTTTCCCCAGTCCCTTCTACATGGTTGCACAATACAGAATACCATGCTATTTCTTCCCCCAAAAAATCACATTTCAAAAGGCACACTGAACCAACCAGACTAAAAATTTTAGGGAAAAAAAAAAAAAAAGGCTGTCTATACTCAAGAAACAGACATTTTTGGTCATAGTCCTCAATAGTGTAAGCCAAGTATGGTAATACAGGCCAATAATCCCAGCACTCCTGACGCTGAGGTTGGAGGATTGACCTACATGATGATGCTGTCTCTAAAGAACCATTCAAATAATCCTAACGTAGTATTATGTATTAGCAGCCCAGAGGTGATTTAACGTATATGGAGGATGTGCATTCAGTTATACACAAATACTACTTTGCTTTACAGAGAAGACTCCCACAGCTCAGATTGGGGTCCTGGTTATAAATCAATCCTCTGTGGATATCAAAGAATTTCATGAGGTTTCATATGCAAATAGAAACAACTCTGCCTTTGTTTAAAGACAAATATTTCACATAGGAATTAAATCTGTTCATCCTCTCAGTATTTGTAAACCCTGAAAAGCCTTTATTGGTAGGTCATTTCTTTCTAGCAAAGCAAGTATTTGTAATTTTCACACAATTTCTCAGATCATTTTTATTCCAGCCTTAATTGAAATCTTTTGTTCTAAAGAAATGAAAATTTTAGTTTAAATTTTAGTTTTGAGCACAATAAAACCTATGATTTGCTAACAGCAGTTACTAACAGTTTAATTAATAGCTGAACCTGTAATCCCAGCATTTGGGAGATGCAGGCAGGAGGACCCTGAGGGTCAGGCCAACCTGAGCTATAAAGTGAGACGGTCCCCATCCCCACCTCCCCAGTTATGTTCCACAAATAACCGTACTTTCAAATCCTGTTCTTCTTCTACTTTAGGCGCTATTTGGACTTTTATTTTCTCGGAAGATTCTTCTACTTCTGCCTCTTTGTCTGAATTTTCATCTACTTTTTCAGAATTTTCAGCACCCATTGCTGCAAAAAAAACAAAATACAAAAACCATGAAATTAAGCCAAAATAGACAAATGAAAGTTCCAAAACAGATTTTATTGTCTTTGCAGCAGAAAAATAGCTTTAGTTCTTTCTCTTGCCGGCTTTATCAAGGTTCTATTAACTTGTCCACCAGCACCCACAAAGGTATCCACGAAATCACAGTGCTCCGCCACTGTATTTACCTTACAGCTTCTGCTTTCTCTTTCCCATCTTTTCTTCCAGAAATAGCAACACTTCCATTTCTTTTTATTTTATTTTATTTATTATGTACACAACATTCTGCTTCCATGTATATCTGCACATCAGAAGAGGGCACCAGATCTCATAATGGATGGTTTTAAGCCACCATGTGGTTGCTGGGAATTGAACTCAGGACCTCTAGAAGAGCAGTCAGTGCTCTTAACCTCTGAGCCATCTCTCCAGCCCCCACTTCCATTTCTTACAAAAGCTAGATATCAAACCTGGAATACATGGGATTCTTTACCAAACTGGGTGGAATAGGAGGAAAACTTTTAAAACCAGAGCAGCATCAACTTCAGCTGCCAGGAATGAGGCGGTCATGCCTGTCGTCTAGTATTCTGGAAAACAAGGTAACAAGGATCCTGAGTTTCAGGCCCCTATGGACTACACAGCAATTTCCTGTCTCAAAACATCACCACCAGTGCCAGTCATGGTGGTACATACCTTTAACTCCAGCACTTAGGCTAAGGCAGGAGAATCTCTTTGAGTTCAAGGCCAGCCTGATCTACATAGGTCAGTACCAGGACAGTCAGAGAAACCCCCACCTCAAAAAACCAAATCACCACCACCAACACCCACCCAATTACCTCTCTGAAATGGCTAAGAACTACAGAGAATCAAGATTCATATAGCTGTCTACACCAATAGTCCCAGCTACTCTGGGTGGGGAGAGCAGAGGAGATGTTGAAGCAACCTGGCCAAAAGCCCTTCTCTCTCTTCACAGGGCTTCACAACTGACATGGTAGCACATACCCATGGCCCCAACACTTGAGAGGTGAAGGCAGGAAAATTTAGTTCAACACCACCAAAAATTACACAGGGAACTCCAGGCCAGACAGGGATACAATGCAAGACAGTTTATAAACTCTAAGATAAAACAAAAGTTAGAATATGATCTTATTTGTAGCCCAGGCTGGCCTGAAACCGCTGACCCTAAAACCTCTGCATCCTAAGTGTCAGAATACCCTTAGACTTTTTAAATTTTAATTAAAAATGTGTGTTGCCTGTGCATGTGCCACTGTACACATGTGGAGAGCAGAGAACAACTTTGTGAAGATGGTTTTCTCCTTCTACCTTTATATGGGTCCCAGGGCTTGAACTCAGGTCATGACTGCATTGTCGGGCAGTAAGTACCTTTACCCACCAAGCCACCTTGCCAACCCTTATTTTTTCTACATTTTCAAATGATATGAAACAAAATCTATTAGTCTGATTTATTAACTTATAGCAATCATATTTTAGAAATCGATCTAGTGACAGGCACAAAAATCAATTTTAAGCATCACTGTAATTCTGACTGGAAGACCCTGTAGAGCAATTAAACAAAATTTATCAAATTATACAGGTGTGAGCACTAAGTTCCCAAGACAGGTGGCTGTGAAGACTGTAGTGGACACCTGGTGACTGACCACCAAGTCATAGGACCTGAATGATGCTTAAAGGCTGCCCAGCAACTTGCTCAAGATTGGTGTAGGCAACTCACAGGCCACGGGGGTTGGGTGGGGCCACTGCACCACTAATGGGGGGTAGGACTAATCTTCCTATCTTCAAGCTGAAGGACTCTACAGATAGAAGACATAGTGACTTTGGAGTAAATTAGAGAGCAAGGCTGTAGTTTCTCCAATCTCTGGGAAAACATTTTTTTTAAAAAAGATTTTATTTATTCATTATGTATACAGTTATCTGCATGCATGCTTGCAAACCAGATCTTATTACAGATGGTTGTGAGCTACCAAGTGGTTGCTGGGAATTGAACTCAGGTCCTCTGGAAGAGCAGTCCGTGCTCTTAACCTCTGAGCCATCTCTCCAGCCCCGGGAAAACATTTTTGCAGCAGTTTCCCTTCAGATGATGGAATATTGATGATAATGTCATCAATATAAACAATGTCACTGGTCATCCTCTGGGACAGAATGAATGTTGTCTTAACATGTTTGTATAGGAGTAAATAGATAAAAGCTAAACCCCACCTAAAATATAACATGTCTGAATTTGTCGAGAGGACAAGACCATTAATGATTCATCTGTATCAATTAAAAAGTTTTGATGAACTCAGCATGCAGACACTGCTATAACATGCCTTGAGTATACCAACACTCACTCACATGCTCTCCCATTCCTTTTGTTTTGGCAGTTGGTAAGTTAATTTAATTTAGTGGTGAAACTTCTTTATTCCAGTCCCTCTCTAACTAGCTCTTGCTTGCTGTGTGCACGTGCATACTAGAGTCTCAGAAGCTGCCCTGTAGAACCTGTAGTGTCCCAATTAAAGTTGCTGACTTGGTCTTATTTGCAGCTTTTGTGTCATGTTTGCTTCTTGAATCTGATGGACTAGAGTATTTCTCCTTCCCCCTTTAATGTTTGATATCACCACTTGGTTCTAATTTATGTGCAGGGGTACTCTACCATATACCTCACATGAAGGTATTCCTGTGTGCAGAACATTATCTTCCTTTCACAAGGAAGATTAATGAAGAAAATCTTCGTATTTTGTATAAAAAACAAAATAAAATTTATATACTATAATATTTAAAAATACTTCAAATAAAAGATGAAATGCAATACATACATACATCCAAGATATGAATAACTACGAATCTATGTGTAGCAACACTAAAATGTGTATAAAGATACATGCAGTAGCATGTTTATTAGAGGAATATATATTGTTGAACACCTTGACAAATACATATAATATAGTGTGAACAACAGAAAGAACAAAGGAACTACAATTCGGCTTCACCTGTTATCAACCTTCCTACAAATGATCATTATTTTGATGGTGCCATTCATTCTTCAGTTTCATAAAGGACATATTGTCAAGCACAAACTTGTACCCATTTACTGACTTACAATGTACAGATCAGCGTGTGCATTTCTCCATGTCTTTTTTTTTGTTCAACACTACTGTCTCAAAAATTCATGTTGTTACCCATAATTACGGTTTATTCATTTCTGCACTGCTGCATAGAATTCCTTAATGAAAAGGCACAACTTATACATCTTACCTTTCCCACAAACATTTGGGTGGCCTATATTTTATTTTCATTAAAAACAAACAAAAATGGTCTGGAAGAGTGTATGTATGTAAAAAAGACAAAATGTATAGCAGGAATAGGAAATGAGAATAAGGAAAAAAGAAAAAGAAAAAAAAAAAGAAAAAGAAAAGGCTGAGACGATCTTATTTCCTGCTGTTGAAAAAAGTAGCAATTCCTACTTTGTAACAGATGTAAGACCTGACTGATGTCAACCTCTCACATTCTTACATCTCTACAAGTAAACAAAAATCAAGAGATATGGAAGTAATCTTCATTTCTAGAATTTCATCAAATAATAAAAGCACCATCACCCTGCTATTGTGTAAGAAGAAACCCATGGAGGCTTATTACCCTACACAGTTCAACTCTAAAGTTTACTGTGTTCTAAGGATGTATGTAGGTCAGTGGTAATAAGGCTTCCTTGCCCGCCTCATTTCTTAGCACAAGAGACAGGGGTGTGGAGGGAATTAGTTTATGGAAAGCACAAATTACCAGTTTCTCCATTTTCTGGAGTCTCTCGTCCAGTTTTACTAGAACTTCGGCTGGTAGATTCTGGACTGGTAGCTCGAACAAACATCTTCCATTTTCCTCTTTTAGACATGAGTCTACGCATTCCATCCTGAGATGCTGGCTGGCTGATATCAGAACGTGGACTAGACCCTGACACACTACCATCTCCTTCTTCCAAGGCTCGTAACTCTGCCTACAAAGAATGTGTTAATAAAGTTAGCAAAACATTAACTACTTATCAGTGTTTAACCACTTTCCTTCATAGCTTAATATTATGCTCCACGCTCAACATTCTTCTGCTATTAATAAATGTTCATTCATGGGATTGGGAACTTATCCAGTGGTAGAGTGAAGCAAGCAAAAGGCCCTGGGTTTGGTCCTCAGCTTGGGGGCAGGGTGGGCACAAAATAATAAAAAGGCTAGGTAGTGGTGGTGCCACACACCTTTAATCCCAGCACTTGGGAGACAGAGGCAGGCAGATCTCTGAGTTTCAGGAAAGCCCAGTCTACAGACTGAGTTCCAGGCCAGCTAGGGTTACACAGAAAAGCCTTGTCTCAAATAAATAAACAAACAAACAAACAAACAAATGTTAATTCACAATGACAGTAACAAACTTTGATGGGGGGGGCACAGGTTCTAGAGTCACAAACATACAAGCCTTCTGACATATACACACATAATGGAAGTAGTTTTATTGGAAGGTCCCCTACAGATTCAAATCTTCAAACAAGGAAAGCTTCAGGTTACTGTTACTGACCCATGTTAGATCCTGCTTAGGGGCTGGAGAAATGATTCAAAGGTTAAGAACATTGGCTGCTCTTCTAGAAGTCCTGAGTTCAATTCCCACTAACCACATGGTGGCTCACAACTATCTATAGTGGGATCTTATGCCGTCTTCTGGCATAAAGTTGTACATGCAGATAAAGCACTCAAATACATTAAAAAAAAATAAAATAAAATCCTGCTTCAAACTGGACTTTTTAGGACAGCAGCAGATGACTACCCCCAAAGAGGAGGGGGGAAAAAAAAAAGGCAAAATCCCAAAGCATATAAAATTGGGTGTGGTAGAACATGTCTGTAATCACAGCATTCAGGAGAGTAAAGCCAAGAACATCACAAATTTGAAGCCACCCCTTATTGAAGAAAGACACAGGGAATAGTCAACTTAATTCTTCTATTATCTAACAAGACCTATTTATTGGTTGACAACTACCAAAAGTACCACCAGAAACCAAAACAACAATTCAGTAATTTGTTGGCTTATAAAAATTTAGGGAACTGGAGAGACGGTTCAGTAGTTAAGAGCACCTGTTGCTCTTGCAAAGGACCTGGGTTTAGTTCCCAGCACCCACATGGTAGTTCACTATCATCTGTAACTGCAGTTCCTGGGATCTGATGCTCTTCTGATCTCTGCAGGCACTGGGCATGCATAAATGTACACAAAATACTCATACATATAAAAATCTTTAACAATAACCCAGTTGAAGAGATGAGCAAAAGTGAAGCCCCAATAATAGTTGTAAGTTGAGCACAACCATCTCTGAGCACAACAGTAATAAGGGGAAATATGTCCTTTAAATCTGTGATGCTTAATCACCATTGTCCACTTGACTGGCTTTGAAATAAGGGAGGACTCACCTCTAGGTATGTTACAAAGGAGTTTTTTCAAGAGAATTTTAACTAAGGGAAGACCCACTTTTAATGTGGGCAGCATCATGCCATGAACTGGGGGGTCCTAGAATGAATAAAAAATGGGAAAAGCAGCCAGCTGACACCAGCACTCGTCTTGACTTCCCGACTGTGGACATACACAATCCTTGCCCCAGGTAGAGCGATGCTCACCTACACTGGGATGGACTGTACCCTCAACTGTGATCCAAACCACATCCTTCTTTCTTTAAGACGCTTATATCAAGACATTTTGTCATGGCAAAGAGAAAGCTAACTAATTACAAAGAGATCTTCAGAACCTTACTTTTTTTCTTTCCAAGGCTAGCTCCAGCTCCAGAGTATCTTGCTCTTCTTCCTCCTCACTTTCTCCAGACTGAACAACACTGCAAAGGTCCTCCTGAGAAGGGTCTTCTAAGCTGTCCAGGGTAACTTCCTGTGCCTTTATGATCGTCCCAGTTTCTTCTTCTGCTGTGCTTGCTTCCTTAACCTCGGACACTGGATCTGCTTCTTTACAAATTACTTTTCTTCTCCATCTTTCTTCCTCCTCTTTTACTCCCTCAGGCAGTAAGGGAGCGAGCAATGCAGCTGCCACCCCTTTCCTCTCCTCCTCATTGTTGGAAAGGGCTTGGATTCCTTCATTCACTTCCTACAAAGAAAAAAGCACTGAGTCACAGCTCTCAAAAAAAATCCCTTGGAACATTCAATTATTTTTATTAACTAGCTTCTTAATTACTGAATATTCACAAAACACCTGTACCCTCAAATATTAGTATGTTATACCACAGTATGTACAAAAAGGAAACACTACTTTAGGAAGGCAGTGGGTGAACTACAATCTATTATCTTCTAGACAGCAAAGGGACAGCTAGTAGGAAGCAGAGACAGACACATCAGCATTTTGTCAACACAACGACTAGATAAATCTTTACCTTTCTCATCTGTAAGATGAAAAAAAGCTAATGTTTCAAAGGGAACTTAGAGGAAAATAAAGTATTTCTAAAATAAAATGTGTGTTTAAGCTGGGCATGAAGGTGCATCCAATTTGGGAGAAAGGAGGATGAGGAGTATAGAACTTAGCCTTAATAATACACCCTAATGATAGGCTGGACTACTATACAATCTCAGAACAAAATTGCTTGATTAATATATTTAAAGTGACCAGGTGGTAGTGGTTCACACCTTTAATCCCAGCACTCTGGAGGCAGAAGGCAGGTAGATCTCAAGTTCCAGGCCAGCCTGGTCTACAGAGTGAGTTCCAGGACAGCCAAGGCTACAGAGACCCTGACTCAAAACAAAAACAAACTTATTTCATCTATTGGAATACTTAACCTTCCTAGAAATGTAGATGGGGAGGGGGTCTCACAATACCCAGCTGGATTCAAACTTGGTATATAGCAAAGGCTGTCTTTGAAGCTGTACTTTGGGAATTAAGGATACAGCTTAACATGTGATGCCTACTAGGATCCTGAGAGGTGGGGTAGAGACGGGAGGTGGTGTCACTCTGAAAATCAAAATAAATTGTAATTCAATACACAATTCATAATTGTCTCTAAACCCTGTCTCAAAAAAATAACTAAATAAATAAATATTGTATGTAAAACTGGATATATAGCATTTGTGAGGAAGAGGTGGGGATATCTTTATGAGTTTGACACTAGCCTGGTTTACACAGTAAGATCCTGTCTCAAAAATAAACAAACAAATAAATGCAAGTCTATTATATGAAGGCCTGCAAGAAGTTTCAGTCAATAAAGGCACTTTCCAAAAAGTCTGACAAGGTGGGTATGGTAGTACACACCTTCAATCACAGCACTGAGGCAGAGGCATGTGGATCTCTATAGTTCTGATCAGCTTGGTCTACACAATGAGTTCTAAGCCAGCTAACACAACAGCGTGAAACCCTGTCTCAAAAATCCTAGAAGACAATGACTGAGTCTGTCTGGCCAGAGCCTACACAGTGTGAGAGAACTATATCAGTAAGTTGTCCACTGACCTCCATTCTAGCAACTAACGGTGCCAACCCCCCATAAATAAGTGTAATTTATAAAAAAAAAATATATGAAATTATCTTCAAGCTATATGTATATGAACCATAAATGAATTCTGTGTTCAGACTTTGGGACTATCCAGAAGAAATGTATATAAATTCAATTATTCCCAAAATCTTAAAAACATCAAAGCTGAAATATTTTGGATAAGGGCCATTCAATCTGAAGTAGTTTATATTTTAATTAAAAAAAAGATTTATTTATTTATTTATTATGTATACAACATTCTGCCCCCATGTATGCCTGCACACCAGAAGAGAGCACCAGATCTCATTACAGATGGGTGTGAGCTACCGTGTGGTTGCTGGGAATTGAACTCAGGACCTCTGGAAGAGCAATCAGTGCTCTCTTAACCTCTAAGACATCTCTCCAGTTCCTATATTTTAATTTTTTAAAAAGATTTTATTTATTTATTATGTATACAGTCTTCTGCCTGCATGCAGATCTCATTCAAGGCGGTTGTGAGCCATCATGTGGTTGCTGGGAATTGAACTCAGGACCTCTGGAAGAACAGTCAGTGCTCTTAACCGCTGAGCCGTCTCTCCAGCCCCACTATAATTTAATTTTTATAATTTATTTTTATACTTATTTTATTATTAATTCAATTAATAAAATAGTGATTAAATAGCCTAAATTATTTATAATTTAATTTAAATTTTAATTATTTGTGTATGTAAATGTAGGTGCCCAGAGGCCAGTTTGATCCCAGCAGAGCTGGAGTTCAGATGATTATGAGCCTCCTGATGTAGGTGCTGGAAGACTTGGGTTCTTTTTTTTTTTTTTTTGGCTTTTTGAGACAGGGTTTTTCTGTGTCTTTGAAGGCTGTCCTGGAACTTGCAGACCAGGCTGGTCTCGAACTCACAGAGATCCACCTGCCTCTGACTCCTGAGTGCTGGGGTTAAAGGCGTTCGCCACCAACGCCCAGCCTGACATGGCTTGCTGAACTCTCCAAATTTTTAAAGAAAGGGACCACTACCACCACCCACAAACTTATCTTGCTATGTAACTCAGGCTTACCTATCCTTGAGGTCTTCCTTCACTTACCACCTGCACACTGGGATTGCAAGTGTATGTCACCATACCTGACTTAAGGCAGTTATATCTAGTCCTTGGGTATGGGAAGTAGCTCTTAAAAGGAAATCCAAAATGAAAAGATGACTCTCAATTTCAGATGGGAGTCTGACACTGTCATCTTGGATGCTGTTCTGTACAGTCTGTGGAGTGGTCTTTCAGTTTCTAATAAGTAAGTTTAAGTATATAAGCAAGCACAAGAATAGCAAAGAAATGCCGGGCGTTGGTGGTGTATGCCTTTAACCCCAGCACTCGGGAGTCAGAGGCAGGCGGATCTCTGTGAGTTCGAGACCAGCCTGGTCTACAAGAGCTAGTTCCAGGACAGCCTCCAAAGCCACAGAGAAACCTGTCTTGAAAAACTAAAAAAGAAGCCAGGCTGTGGTGGTGCACGCCTTTAATCCCAGCACTCGGGAGGCAGAGCCAGGTGGATCTCTGTGAGTTTGAGGCCAGCCTGGTATCCAGAGCAAGGGCCAGGATAGGCTCCAAAACGACACAGAAAAACCCTGTCTCAAAAGGAAAAAAAAAAAAAAAAAAGCCAAAAAAAGTTTTTAAAGGACAATGATACAAGCACATTGGTCTGAAATGGGGTGGAAACCCAACTCCAGAGCCAGCTTCTCAAATAGCACAAACAGCACATGACGATCAGTATAATGTACATCACAGCTGCTCCCATGTCCCTCTAAGATGGCTTAAGTAGTTTTCATGGCACTAAAATTCTGAATCACTACAGTGGTTAGTAACTTCTATAAATCTGATCTAACACACAGAAACAGATTAGGTAAAACTAAGAACACTTGTGCTGTGAAATACTATCATATCAAGTTCTTAAATTAGAAAATTAGCAAATGCAGTAAGTTATAATACTAACCTTTTTAACTTCTCGTTTGGCTATGACGGGTCCACTTTTATTACTGGAAACAGAAACAGTTTTCTCTTTCGTATATCCGTCTGTATTTACCACAAAACCAGCTTCAGTACCTGTTACAGAACTGGGGATGGGAGTGTCAAAAGACAAACAAAAGGTAAATACCCACAGCAGCTACTTTCTCCTGCATAATTTCTTCTTCAGAAATACCCTTACCTGGACTGGTAATGCTGTAATCCCTGCACCTGTGTGGCAAGATACTGGGGTAGCTCCCAAGTTACTTCATTTGTTTGTGTGTTCCAATAATAATAGCAACCTGTGTTCTCATCCCAGACCTCTTGCCAATCTCCCATCTCAATTTCCACTGTAAGAAAACAAAACGTATTTCAAATGTAAACTGTGTGTGTGTGTGTGTGTGTAGTTTATATTCTATATATATAGTCTTGACTTCTACCCCAAGACAGCTGTTAAAAGATAACAGCTTAATACAGGGTTCTCAAATCTGTATTGTGGAGTTTAACAACATCCCTAGCATATACCACACTAAGGAGAAACCCCTCTGCATTGTAATACCCTCAATTTATCTTTAGACATTACTAAATGTTCCCTGTAAACAACTCTTCCACACCAAAATAATTATTTTCTCAATAAAAACTTATTCACAGCCAGATGTAGTGGCACACACCTTTAGTCCTAGCACACAGGAGGTAGAGAAAGGTGGATTTCTGTGAGTTTGAGGCCAGCCTGGTCTACAGAGCAAGTTCCAGGATAGGCTCCAAAGCTACACAGAGAAACCCTGTCTCAAAAAGAAAAAAAATCCACTTTTGTGCACAGAATTAAAAGCTGTGTGATACTCAATAAAAATAAGTTTTCAAAACAATGGCTTTTATTACTCACCTGGCACAATTGGCTACTGGTAAAGACCATCACCCTATTGACTAGCTTCCCAATACTACATTTAAAGGCCAAAATTCCAAGTCCTAGAGCTAAAGCATCTAGCCTCACGCTTAGGAAGGCCAATGTCAAACTTTGAAGTCTTCTTGAAACAGCGACCACACTTACCTCCTGCCAGTGAACACTGAGTATCATAATGCCACCCTAGTGTCTGGGCTGGGTCGGTTCCATTTGATGAGGTGGAAGAAAGGGCAGCTGTTGCTGCTTCCTTTGGTTCTGGTCGAGGTGGAGTTGGAGGTGGAGCAGAAGCTACCACAGAAGCTGCAGGCTGAGGTGCTGTTATAGCATCAATCTCCTATAGAATAAAAACAGCAATAAATGACTGGGCATGGCGCTTACACGTCAAATCCCTTAAGAGGCAGAAGTAGGATGATAGCTGCAGGTTTAAAACCAACCTGGTCTACATCAGGACAGCCGGGGCTACAAAAATACTATATCAAAACAGAGATGCAAACAAAAGCATCACTAACCGCTAGGAAGTTGGCCAGCGTACTATCAATGTCAGTTGACTGGTTTCCATTTGGCTCTTTGGATTGTGCTGTTTTTTCAGAAACATCACTCTCATCATCATCACTGTCAGCATAAGCACCAAGTAAGCACAGACCTCCTAGAAATAAAAAGGAAAACACACAAGGGCTAGAGATATATATTAGCAGTTAATAGCAGTTTAAAGACTAGAGAGTTCTCCCTTTTATTAGGTGTGGTATGGGTATATATATGAGGTCACATGTATATTCGGATACACATGCACATGTGTGCATAGAAGCCCTGAAACAGGATCTCTTATTAAACTTGGAGCTTGCTGTTTTAGCTAGACTGGCTACCCAACTTGTTCTTACTAAGGATTCCAACTTCTCACTGGAATTACAGGCAGGCTACTATTCCCACCCAATTTTCACAAAGGTTCTAGGGATCCCAATTTGACCTCATGCCTTAGCTAAGTGACACCCCCAGCCAAACCACGTGTTGGTTTTTTTTTTTTTAATTTGTTTATCATTTTATTGTATGCCTAAGTATTTTGGCTACATGTACATATTTGGTATTTGGCATGCTTGGTGCCCTCACAGAAGTCAGAAGGCATTGTATCCCCTGGAACTGGAGTTTCAGACAACTGTAAGCCACTATGTGGATTCTGAGAATCAAACCCAAATCCTCTGGAAGAGCAGCCAATATTTTTAATCCCCCAGCCATCTCTCCAGCCCTAACCACATGTTTTTTTTTTTTTTTGGTTTTTGGATACAGAGTTTCCCTGTGTCTTTGGAGGCTGTCCTATAACTAGCTCTTGTAGACCAGGCTGGTCTCGAACTCACAGAGATCTGCCTGCCTCTGCCTCCTGAGTGCTGGGATTAAAGGCGTGCGCCACCAATGCCCGGCAACCAATGGCTCTTTAATTAAAGAGTTAGCATTTCATTTTCTTACAAATTAAAACTTAAATTTCAAAATCAGAATAATCATTAAATTAGGACTAGAATTACAGCTCAGTTGAAAACCATGTACTTACCTGGATCCAATTCTAATAACTAACACACACACCATGCTGGGCATGGTAGCATAAGCATTTATTCTCATCACAAAGGAAACTGAGGCAAAATGATCTTAAAAGCTGGGCATGACATGTGTCTTAAATCCCAGCACTCAGGAGGCAAGGGCCAACTGATCTCTGTGAGTTTCAGAACAGCCTGGTTTACATAAAGAGTTCTTAGACAACCAAGGCTAGTGAGATCCTGTCTCAAAAACGAAAGAACACACGGAAAAGGGGAAGAGGGAGGGGTGCAAATACAATGTCTTCATGTGTGAAATCCTCAAAAGTAAAAGATTATTTAAAAAAATACTAAGACCACAAAGAATAACATTAAACCACCACAGATACAAATTATAATATCCCTCAAGGGGTCAGGCCCAATGGCACACACCTATAATCATAGCACCTAGTTCAAAGCCAGAATGGATTACACAGCAAATTCCATGCCAGCCAGAGCTATATAATGTGGCCCTGTTTCTACCCCCACCAAGTCCTTCAGGATAATAAAGTCAATCTATACATACTTGATAACCTCCCCAAAACATACCATGGATCACTGAACCTCACTCTCTCAAAGTAACAAAATTTGGTTATTAAATATCTATTCAAGCGAGGTGTTGTACATTTCTGTTATTTGAGCACTTAGGAGCTAAAACAGGACTGAACTTTGGGATCAAGGATGGACTACCAGACTTCTAGGACATTCTGAACTATAAATGGTAGCTCTGTCTCAAAAGTTGAAATACCTCAAACACCTAAGCCAAAGTATAGCAGTTTAAACAGATTTTCTAAGTAAAAACAAAGCTATTAGTGATTACTTCTCAAACTGAAAGGTGCATGAATTAAAGTGCATTAAGACAAATATAACTGGGCTGGGCATAGTCCTAGCACATGGGAGGCAAAGACAGCCAGATCTCTGTTTGAGACCAGCCAAGGCTACCAAAGCAAGAAACTCACTCTCTCTCTCTCTCTCTCTCTCTCAAAAAAATCAAACAAAGATCTCATCTTAGACTAATAATAAAGTTTCTGTAATGATAAATATTTAATATTAAAATATTTTAATCTGTGCTTGACAGATAGCTGTTCTTCCAGAGGATCAGAGTTTAGTTCTCAGCACCCATGTTGGGCAGCTCACAACCACCTGTGTCTCCAGCTTTGTGGGATCTAACATCCTCTTCTGGCCTCCTCAAGCTCCCACACATTGCACTTACATAGACACATACCTATAAATAAAAACAGAAAATGTAAAAATAAAATTACTCTTAAAAGACATTTTACTAGGGGGCTGGAGAGACGGCTCAGTGGTTAAGCGCTCTGGCTATTCTTCCAAAGGTATTCATTCATTCATTCATTCATTTATTTGTTTTTCGAGTCAGGGTTTCTCTGTGGCTTTGGAGGCTGTCCTAGAACTAGCTCTTGTAGTCCAGGCTGGTCTCGAACTCATAAGAGATCCACCTGCCTTTGCCTCCCTAGTGCTGGGGTTAAAGGGTGCAACTCCACCACCCGGCGTCTTCCAAAGGTCTTGAGTTCAATTTCCAGCAACCACATGGTGGCTCACAACCATCTGTAATAAGATCTGGTGCCCTCTTCTGGCCTGAATGTATACATGCAGGCAGAACATTGTATACATAATACGTAAAGCTTAAAAAAACTTTAATCTTCAATACATGTAAAATACAGAAAACAATCTTGCTGTTTTAATGTCTGAAATAAACATACATATATAATTTATATTAATTTATATATAATTTAAGAAGATATATATGTAAAATTTAATACCCCAAGCAATTTAGGTCTATAGTAGTAGACATATTTTATAGATGAGTAAGTTTCAGCCCAACAACTGTCATGAGTGAAAGTTAGAATAATGATTTGAACTCAGGTTTGCCAATATAACCATTGCCACAAATATTACAGCACAATAGGACTGCCAACTGTATGGGGTGGGGGATATTTGAAAAGGAATTTTCAGCTTCACAAATATTTAATTGGTACCAACCAAGGCAGTGTTAAATGAGTGGGGTGTGGTGGAGCACACCTGTAATAACTATAGTACTTTGGGAGGTAAAGGCAGGAGTTAGCAATAGGTCAAAGTCAGCCAGCCTCAGTTATATACAAGGTTTTAGGCCAGCCTGGACCATGAATCACTGTCTGAAAAGAATGACAACAAAAACCATAACCAACCGAATAAATAAATCAATAAATAGTCAAAATGAAAAATAAGGCATAATTGGTGCCCCTTAAAAACACCAATTGGCCAAAAAACTTGTAGATAAATGGCTCAGTTTGTAAAATAAATTTGGACTTGCATTCAGATCCCTTGTACCATGTTTTGGCTGATGCAGTCATCTATAACCACAGTGCTGGGAGTGAAGTGGAGTGGTACAGAAAAGTACCACTTGGAGAGGGGGGGGTTTGTCTAGCCAGCCTAGCTAAAGTTCAGGATCACTTGAGACGCTCTGACTTAAAAATAAACAAGTTAGGTGGTACAGCCTTAGAAGCATGCAATCTTGTCTGCCTGTGTGTGTGCACACATAGACAAACCGATTTGGGGTATAGCAGTAACTAAATAAGCCGAAAATAAACAAACATCCTTGTTACTTAAAGTTTGTGGTGATGTACGCCTTTAATTCCAGCAACTCAAGAGGAAGGAGGATCTCTTTGAGTTCGAGGCCAGCCTGGTCTACAGAGCAAGTTTCAGGACAGGCTCCAAAGCTACACAGAGAAACCCTGTTTCAAAATACCAAAATTGTTAATCTATTTTTCTGTAAGACTGGAGCCCAGAGGCTTGCATCTTTGAAGCAAATAAATACTCTACCACAACTCCAACCCCAGAAACACTTTAATTACTTTTTACGGGAAACCGTAAATTAGCAACACAACCATCCAACAGACAATCCAGGCACACACTCAATTTTAACTTAATGAAAGAAATTTTAGAGAAGAGTAAAAGAACAACAGAAACCTGTACCTGTTGCCTTAACGGCTGTGGGTCTGGTGGTCATGACTGGTTTGGGAGGGTTCTGAACAACTTTGGGAACCTCCACCACCACTTCCTGTTCATCTATATTTGAAATGAACAAAAGGAAACGGCAGTGAGTCGGTGGACCAGAGAAAACACGAGAGGCAGAGACAAAAATAAAAATCTGACCTTTCAGGCCTGGATTTCACCAACTTACAAAACCAAAACCAGTGTGTATCACTGGTCCAAACTCGGGGGGGGGGGGGATCTAGAATCTTCCATTCATTTAAGTGACATCGACAGTAACCTGAACATTTATATGAAAATGGCACCTGCAATACTCAACAATTAAAACGCATAAATAAATCTGTAGGTTTCCACACAGTATGTTCTTGCTACTTGATAATGGTACAGCTTCTCCCGCATCTACACCCGGTAGGAATTGTTACTCCTAACCCAAATACAGTTCCAGGGAAACCCACAGGCTTTGTTACTTTTCTACAAGTCGGCGGGGGGGTGGGGGCACCGATGCTTTGTCTGGCATAAAGAAAAAAAGGGTTTGTTTCCTTCTAAAGAGTGGCTGTCTCAATTTCAACAAAACCGAAACCAAGTGTGACAAGCAGAGAAGGCTAGGCTCAATTGCTTCAATGCTCCACGTGGAAACTGCCCTCCTCCTCCCTCTGCGTTATCAAGATCGTAGGGGGTCATGTGGGAGACATTTGGGGTGCCAGGCCTCGGTGGATTGCACAGGTTCCCGGGGAAAAACCCTGCACCCGCAATGGCGCCTCAGATGAGCGCGGCCGGGCCTTCCGCTGCCCAGAGTCCACGGTCACAGTCCCGCGGATTCCAGGTCCCAGGCAGCCCAGGCGTATCTCGCCCGCCAGGGTCACTCTTCCTCACTGGGAGGCCTAGGCCTCAAGCCCCGTGCTCGAGTTTCGGACGTCCCAAACACAGGCAGGGGCACCTCGCGCGCCCTTACCTTCCGAAGGCGAGTCCTCTGGAGCAGCAGTGGAAGGCACCGCGGGC